TTATCATGCTATTTAAAAATAAATACAAAATGAAAGCTTGAATGTGGCCCAGGATTCATTAGGATCAACTAATAAATAATCTCACCATACTAATTTCAAGCACTCTGTCACGAACCTCTATCCCAAGCAAGGATGAGCCATATCCTTTTATCCATGGAAAAGAAGATTCTATAAAAAGCTAGAAAGAGGAAAATAATCTAAGAAATTCTAGAAAGTTTCACATAATTCAAAAAATATGTTGAAATAAGTAAGTTTCAAGAGAGCTCTAGAATATTCTAGAAAGTCCTAGAATCATGTATATGTAAAGAATAATGTAGAACTATCTAGAAACTCGTATATTATAATGTAGTCTAGAAAGTTTCATGATGCTTTGGAGAGGAAATGGGCTACTCATAATAAATCATATTGATTCTAGCTCTTTGCTACGTACTCCTATTATTTTTTAAATAATGTCCTTTATAAGAAAGAAGAAAAAAAACATTATTTTATATAACAATTTTTTCATTCTAATTATGTATGGAGAAATTAAACAAGGCACAATCCTTTTTTTCAACTTAAAAGATAGAATGTATGTGCAGACAAGCTTTTCACTCCAATCACCGCCAATTGTTGTATTTCGAGTGTCAACATTGCTCTATCCAAGCAAATTCATAAATTAGGACATCTATAAATGCCAATTCTCAAGCATAATCTCATAATTCAATCATGATTTATCATCGTCCCTGCTACTATTAACTCTCCATTGCAGAGCATGTCGGTGCAACAACAATCATAAACTCTCATTGTCTATCTCCACTATTTTATCTTCTTAGTTTCTTGAAATAGTATTCTCAGTAACGGACCTCGCCCATGCAATCATTTTTGGATTGCTCTTCCAAACACACCTAGCATTATCCACTTAAACAAGTATCTCAAGTTTATGATGCTTTTTTTCAAATTTAAAGTCTTAGTCAAAAAGCATATTGATCTAAGAATCATGACAATGTGCTACTACAATGGTAGTGAGTATCTAAACTATTAACACATTCTTATCCACCAATTGCATCCTCATTTAACCAGCTGCACATCTGAAAATGATAAATTCCTTAAAAAACACTATTATAATATTTGTTGAAATCTCTCTCTCCCCCCTCTCTCCCTCTCTCCCCCCCTCTCTCCCTCTCTCTCTATTGCATCCATTTTTCCACATAACTATTGGACTGGAGTTTTTGCTCCGATAGTTTACCGTATAAATCGTTAGTCTACACTTCATTTCTACAAGTGTCCGCATCATATAACGTGGTAAAACCGCAATCTCTTGGAATGCCAAAAAATAAAACACCATGGCTCACTACCCCCACCAAGTTGGAATATCACTCTATTTCCACCATAATTGCTAAGCTTTGTTGTGTCAACTCCCTATTTCGTTGAACTTGACATTCACCTTCCTTGGGCCATGGTAATGTGTATAAAAAGTATATGCCATTCATCTATACTTTAGCGATATCTTTCATTCTCGGACGAAACAAGCAACTATTGTTTATCATGCTATTTAAAAATAAATACAAAATGAAACCATATCTCTATCCCAAGCAAGGATGAGCCATATCCTTTTATCCATGGAAAAGAAGATTCTAGAAAAAGCTAGAAAGAGAAAAATAATCTAAGAAATTCTAGAAAGTTTCACATAATTCAAAAAATATGTTGAAATAAGTAAGTTTCAAGAGAGCTCTAGAATATTCTAGAAAGTCCTAGAATCATGTATATGTAAAGAATAATGTAGAACTATCTAGAAACTCGTATATTATAATGTAGTCTAGAAAGTTTCATGATGCTTTGGAGAGGAAATGGGCTACTCATAATAAATCATATTGATTCTAGCTCTTTGCTACGTACTCCTATTATTTTTTAAATAATGTCCTTTATAAGAAAGAAGAAAAAAAACATTATTTTATATAACAATTTTTTCATTCTAATTATGTATGGAGAAATTAAACAAGGCACAATCCTTTTTTTCAACTTAAAAGATAGAATGTATGTGCAGACAAGCTTTTCACTCCAATCACCGCCAATTGTTGTATTTCGAGTGTCAACATTGCTCTATCCAAGCAAATTCATAAATTAGGACATCTATAAATGTCAATTCTCAAGCATAATCTCATAATTCAATCATGATTTATCATCGTCCCTGCTACTATTAACTCTCCATTGCAGAGCATGTCGGTGCAACAACAATCATAAACTCTCATTGTCTATCTCCACTATTTTATCTTCTTAGTTTCTTGAAATAGTATTCTCAGTAACGGACCTCGCCCATGCAATCATTTTTGGATTGCTCTTCCAAACACACCTAGCATTATCCAGTTAAACAAATATCTAAAGTTTATGATGCTTTTTTCAAATTTAAAGTCTTAGTCAAAAAGCATATTGATCTAAGAATCATGACAATGTGCTACTACAATGGTAGTGAGTATCTAAACTATTAACACATTCTTATCCACCAATTGCATCCTCATTTAACCAGCTGCACATCTGAAAATGATAAATTCCTTAAAAAACACTATTATAATATTTGTTGAAATCTCTCTCTCCCCCCTCTCTCCCTCTCTCCCCCCCTCTCTCCCTCTCTCTCTATTGCATCCATTTTTCCACATAACTATTGGACTGGAGTTTTTGCTCCGATAGTTTACCGTATAAATCGTTAGTCTACACTTCATTTCTACAAGTGTCCGCATCATATAACGTGGTAAAACCGCAATCTCTTGGAATGTCAAAAAATAAAACACCATGGCTCACTACCCCCACCAAGTTGGAATATCACTCTATTTCCACCATAGTTGCTAAGCTTTGTTGTGTCAACTCCCTATTTCATTGAACTTGGCATTCACCTTCCTTGGGCCATGGTAATGTGTACAAAAAGTATATGCCATTCATCTATACTTTAGCGATATCTTTCATTCTCGGACGAAACAAGCAACTATTGTTTATCATGCTATTTAAAAATAAATACAAAATGAAACCATATCTCTATCCCAAGCAAGGATGAGCCATATCCTTTTATCCATGGAAAAGAAGATTCTAGAAAAAGCTAGAAAGAGAAAAATAATCTAAGAAATTCTAGAAAGTTTCACATAATTCAAAAAATATGTTGAAATAAGTAAGTTTCAAGAGAGCTCTAGAATATTCTAGAAAGTCCTAGAATCATGTATATGTAAAGAATAATGTAGAACTATCTAGAAACTCGTATATTATAATGTAGTCTAGAAAGTTTCATGATGCTTTGGAGCTATAAGTAGAAGTCCCCCCACCCCCCCCTCTTCCTCATTTGGATCCATCCAAAGTTCCTAAGCAATCAAGTGTATAATCTCTCATTTCTTAGCGAAGTGTCCATTTCTTCTATAACTTCTCCCTACTCTTTTCCTAGAGAGTTTTGTGTCTTCAAATCCGAACGTTGCAAGGGTTAGGCTGATTTGGTGCTTAAAAAAGGTGCTAAAGCCGTACGGGTGACTAGTGTAAAGTTTGCTTGTGACAACTCGCTTCTCTAAAGTGAGTATTGAGAGCTCAAAAATTTGGAAATCCATTTTGAGAGGGCTTGTAAAACAGTAAATACATGAATACTTAGTTTCCTATAAATTTATTCAATTTTCTACGAGAATTTCTTGTTGCATTTAAAATTGCGATGAAACCCATTTACAATCTTTCAGGATTCTATACATTCTTAATATCTTAATAAAATGATCAAGTCATTATTCAAACCTCTAAATAAATCAGAATAAGCCTAATCACTAAGTGCGCAGAAGGGTCAGTTATACAACCAGTAAATCTTAACTTAAATGTAACTATATATAGATTCTATCAAGATGATCAGAAAACAAAAAAACATACAGAAACCATATAGAGGCTTCTTAATCTTAAAGAAGTACCCATAAAGGTTTTGAAGAAAAAAATTAAAACGATTGCTACTGAAATCATAAAACAAATAAAATGGAGAAGTTCTGGATATCATACCTTGAGGTACAAATCCTCGTTATGCTCCTTGATCCTATCGAGCAATGAAAGCCAGTCAACCCTCCTAGCAGAGAGGGCTTCTTCAAACTCCTTAAATGCAGGTTTCAAATCATCCTTCTCTGGATCCAAACCCATAATCTTGTCCTCCACCCTCTTACTCCTTCCCACAACTGGCCTGGCCTCCTCAGGCACAACATGCTTCTCAGCTTCCTGCAACCTCTCTGAAACCTCAGCCCATTTAGGATCGGACATATCAAGCCCATATATCTTATACCTAATCTTCCCCTTCCTCAGTGGCAGAGCCATTATCTTCGGCCTTTCAGATACTGTAATCAATCCCTTCTCCAACTCTTCCTCCTTCTTAGCCTGTTCGCGCATCCTCTCAAGCTCCTTATAAAATTCCACTTCGTCCATCTTTTCCCTCGCCCATTTGAACCGGAGCTCCCGTAAAAAGTCGCCACGGATGCCAACTTCTCCAGCAAATCGACACATCTGCTTGACTTCATCGCAGTCCATGTACTTACGCAGCTCCGCGCGGACACGATCCCGACGCATAGCTTCGTTCACAGAGGCGCTAACATCCAAGATAGTCTTCCATAGATCCTCGCTCAGATCCATCGGAGGCCCATCGGCTTCGGCCCCTGAATCGAGGCGATCGACGACGGTCTGGCAGATTATAAGGAGCATGGAGTCCCGGGTGTCGCGGGGGAGACCAGGGTAGGCTTCGGAAATCTTCCCGCGGATGGAATGGACGAATCGGGAGAGGAATTCGTTCATGGTGGCGTCTTCTTCTGTTTCGACGGCTGAGGGAGGTGCCGGAGAGTTAGTGGTGATGGGTTGAAGGAAGCGGGAAGGAAGCGTTTCGTGATTAGTGTTAGGGTCAGAGTTAGGGTTAGGGCAAGGGTTGGTATTTGAGGGAGAGTCATGGATGGATCGGATTAAGGTTTTTCCAGAGAAGAGGAGAGGGAGAGGGAGAGGGAGAGGGAGAAGGAGAGGGAGAGGGTGTCGACGGAGACGGTGGAGGAGCGGGGAGGTTTTAGAGATCAGCTTGGAAGCTACGGTTACCATTGGAATGACGATCGTGAAACCCTAAACTGTAGTGAATGATTTAAAAAGTTCAAAATTTTGGAGATGTATCCCACGGCTATAAATACTCTACGGCTATCCTTAAATCATTTAATAGTGTGCTTAGTTATTTTAAATTTTTGAAATATTTAGATACATGCAACTTAATTCATATATATTTATATAGCTAACACCTAAAAATATATAAATATATATAACTAAACATATGCCATCCTATACATAAAAATTATTATTTCACTTTTTAGACGTCATACTGACTAACAAGTTTAAAGTGGTATAAGAAATTTAAGGACAATTTCATATAGAACTTTAATGAAGAACAATGTTTTTCTTTACATTTCAATCTCAAACGACACTTGGGTTCTCCCTTTGAAGGTTATTCTTTGAGTAGGTGTGAAGCTTCATTAATTATTTATAATAGCATGCAAAATTATGTTCTGGCAGATTCTCAATTTCCCCCAAAAGTTGGTTTGCTTAATCCTATTGGTTTGGGTAAATTGAATGGCTTGGTTGGTCACAAAGCTCATAGTAGTGTGTCTGAAGTTCCCTGAATAACACATATGATAAGTCTCATCAATGAACAATGTGATATTGGGAAAGATGCGGTTCCTAATGAGGTTAACTTAACAACTGACGTTACTCCAAATGCTAAGGGTGTTATGTCGACCAATATGAAATTTATTTCTTCTTCCCCTCTTATGAATCAAGATTGTATGGATGCTTCTTTTTCGGATAAGGATGAAGGGGAATTGGTACCTTCTGTTGCTAATGAGCTTTATAACAAGCACATTCGTAATCTTGATTGTGAGGATATAGATAGTTTTTTTGTGTTATTTCAAAAAGAAAGAACATAAATAATAAAGCTAATGCGCTAACTATACCGCGAGTTAGTTGACGACCTTCCAACTCTCTATGGATTTTCGTTTAATGTTTAAAGCACTTTTTTGGAATATAAAGGGTATTAGTGCTACCACATTGTTTTTGTTATTTTTCTCTCTTTTATTTTGAAAGAGTCGTCAGGTTATCTAACTTCGTATAATTATCTTTTTCGAGTAAATCTCTCTTCCTAATCATATTAATGATTTAGAGAAGAGATGAATCAGAAGGTAAAGATATACAATAATGAAGGCAAACTAGAAAAACACCATGAAGAACTTTCATGAAGTAAGCTTCACGTGATAGCCCAAGAGCATGCGCCCGAACGAGGTTGGGTCGAAAATGTCTTGAAAACATATACGCGAAGAATACCCTATAAAAAAACTCACAACCAGGGATTCAAGTGTGTATGTTTATTTGGGGGTCAATAGTAGCTCCTAAAGAGATGTATTCCTTTTGGTTAATTACATCTTGGAGGCTTACCAAAAATACTCTCAATAAAATAAGTTCTGATTATATTTAAATGACGCCAGTAAAGGGTTTTACAAATGATGGTTATTTTACACGAGCATCTTGATGCTTTCAAAGCTCTCGCCAAGCCACTTGGCAGAGAACGAGTCTCTTATATCTAAAATGAATGGGTAGCAGCTCATCAATAATCGAGGCCTATGAAATAACCAGACTTACTCATAGAGTCCACAATATGCTTCCAAAGCCTGACCAAGCCATACGGGTAGCGGGTGAATCACTAAATCCCAAATGAAGGGTGTTGTATCCACAATTCGGGCATACGAACAACATCAACGAAGCATTGAAAGGTGCGACAAGGCTCAAAGGGGGTCGCAAAAGAAGGAAGAGTAATCAAAATCTCTTAGAGATAACCTAGTTAGAGTACTATGATCCATCATTCTAAGTTATTGGGATCCAAGTTTACATAATCGTAAAGGTAGTCGACCCAACTCAACCGAAGACCCCCTTGTCAGCAATCTATGAATAACGTCATCCAAGGGGAACTCAATTGCCTTAATTTCAAAAGAAGAAAATTCTAATCCTATAACTCTATGTAGGTCGGAAGAGGTGGGACTTATACCTGCAAAAGTAGCAAGAATGTAGTTTGAGTGAAAGAAATGAGAGGTACAACTAATAAATCCTGAATGTTCTCGCGAAGGACTTACTTCTTGTCTAGGTCGGGGAAGCCTCTAACACCCTATGCATGCTAAGCAATGACCTAAATATAAAACTTATGTTAAGCTAATCTTGTTGGAGAACCGCGAGCACTTCTTCTCGAGACATGCAATACGATGCAATTATCTAGTTCTAAGCATGGAGGCCCTATTAGGAATGATTTGGGATATAGTCATGTTATGCAAACCATTTTTAAAAATGGCTCGAACGCCATGCAGAAAAGTGATGTGTAGGTTTTAAATAGTTGAATATTTTAATCATAAATTTTAATAAACCTTGACTATTTTATTATGATTTCAATAAAAGTTTTATAATATTAGGGTCCTTTAAGAGCTTAAATTTTAGCGCAAGATTCTTAGACAAACCACAATAAAAAAGGGTGAAACTTGCAATCACATGCGAAATCAGAAAAGTAAAGCAAACCGAATTAAAATTATAATAGGTGAGTTTTGTTGGGCTTACAACATATTCTAGAAAAGCAAAAATGCGGTCAGACTCTGCATATACATAATTAGTCCTAAATGTTATACATTAATATCAGAATGCATAATTAATATACGAGAAATGAACATTTGCTTCTAGTCCCCACTATGTGGTTCCACGTCTCAAGCGCCTAGGAACTAGTGCCCGTATCTTAATTTCGCTACATGACATGTTAAAGGTTTTATTTAATGGGAGATTTTTTGAGTTGTTTGTTATGAAGTGAAGTTGTGCCGATATGCCTTACTCTCTTCTCAACTTATAGTTTTTCTTTCTCTGTTGTTCGGTTGTCTTTCTGTCTTGGAAGTCTCAATTTTATTCTTTGGGACAATTTTTTGCTCCATTTTAGTCATAAAAAAAGTGTTGTTGGATTCTAAAGGGTAATCTGTCGTCTTTCCCTTTCTTCCATCAGCGACCCCCTGGTATATTCAGATTTGCTCTTATTAATTGCTTTATATTGATCAATAGTTTTCCTTCTCTTATGTCATTTTTCTCGCTTTGTCATTGCTTTGTCATAGGCTTGCAGGTTCAGCTTTTTGTTTGCTCCTCTTATCTTCACTTGAGGTTTTCTCTCTCAAAATTTTGGTTGTTTGGCTTACCTCCTTCGGGATTTCTGATTTTTGAGTTTCGTTTGTGTGTGTTGTGCTCCTGAGGGAGGAACCTCTAGGTTTTCTTTGAAGCGAGTTGTATTTTATTTGTTGTAAGGATCCTCCTGTCATTCCTTATAATTTTTATTTTGCATGAATAAAAGTCTCTCTAAGATTTCAAAAAGTAATAATAATAACAATACGTGGTAATTACATATAGAGCACCCTGAACTTTGATATTTAAAAATCAAGCACTCTTTTCATCTATTTTTTAAATTCTCGCTGAAATTTTAAAATTCAAGATAAAAATTCAACTCATATTTTTCAATTTTGTCAAATTCTAAATAGTTTGAAATATTAATTTTTCGGGAGTTTTATATGTTATTGTTCCGAAAATTTAAGTAGAAGAAATATAAATTACTCGCGTGCTGGCTTTGCAAATATTTTATGTTGTTCTTAGTTTCAGATGGTTTTATCCGAAGGAGATGGGCTTTTATACAGAAATGGCCAAGATCGTGGTGGACCAAATCTGTTGGGCCTTTAATTGCTAATTTTGCTTTAAGATTGAATTTATATGACTGAGATAATTTCTCTATTGTACATAAAAAATGTGTCGGCACTAATCTCGAATAAGTCAAACAGATTAAAAGAATAAAGCAAGAGCAGGGGGGGCATAGAAGGGAGACCAAAAATTCTTATTATTACAAGATCAAAGGACTTAATTGACCAAGTGCAGATCCCTCAGATCGGGACTCGAAGCAAACCGATTTGTGTCTGTCGAAATGAAAGTCAAGATATATTGCGCCGGGAGAAGCCATCAACCCAACTCTTCCCACAACATCGCCAACCATCT